AAGAGACAGTAGTGGCCGTGGGGGTAGGGGTGGTGGCTGAAGTACTGGTTGTTCAGCTTCTGGAGCTGCATGCTGGCGCTCAGCTGCCCTCCCGGGCTGGCGACGGGGGGGGCCATGAACTGGGAGCCGCCGAAGCGGGCGGGGGGCGGCATATTGCCGGCCGGGTGCCCTCCGCTCACGCTGCCCGGCCCCATGGCGTGCCTCACCCCGCCGCTCGCGTTCATATTCCCGGCTCCGTAATGTATATGGTCGCCCATCAGGGCGCTGAAGGCGTGCTGCTGCGGCGGCGGCGGCGGCTGCTGCTGCTGGTGGTGGTGATGGGGGGTGGGAAACTGCCCCATGCCCAGCCGGTGCGCGGGGTGGTGGTGGAGCCCGCCGGAGCCGTCGGGGAATCGCCCGTGGTTCATGGCCCCCCCCGTCGCCAGCCCGGGAGGGCAGCTGAGCGCCAGCATGCAGCTCCAGAAGCTGAACAACCAGTACTTCAGCCACCACCCCTACCCCCACGGCCACTACATGCCGGACTTGCACCCCGGCACCCACCAGCTGAACGGCGGCAGCGGCAGCCAGCAGCATTTCAGGGACTGCAACCCCAAGCACGGCGGCGGCGGCGGCGTCAGTGGCAGCGGGTTGCCGCCCGCCGTCCCCCACGTCCCCGCGGCAATGCTGCCGCCCAATGTCATAGACACTGACTTCATCGACGAGGAGGTCCTCATGTCCTTAGTCATCGAAATGGGGCTGGATCGCATCAAGGAGCTTCCCGAGCTGTGGTTGGGACAGAACGAGTTTGACTTCATGACAGACTTCGTTTGCAAACAGCAGCCCAGCAGGGTGAGCTGCTGATTCATTTCAAACAAACAAAGGACTTTCTATCGGTGCGAATGAAAACATTCCCCTAGACGCGGTGTCTCACTTTTCAGGGCTTGAAAAGGTGAGAATCTGGAAAGCAGAGTCAACTATGCGCTTGTATAAATCCTTTTTTTTTTTTTTTTCTTTCTTTCTTTTTTGTTCCCCCCCCCTCCCCTTAAATCGCTGCCACTTTTTCTGTAGCCTTGACACTCACGTCCCCTCCCGTAGTAATAATTTCTAGCGAACTCTGCCTTTTTATGTTGGTCGCTCCCCTCCCCTCCTCACTCTCTTCCATTTCCTGGCAGATTTCGTGCCCATAATTCCCACAGTGCTGAACTGTTAGATATTAATCTTGGCAAATTGCTTAATCTTGTGGATTTTGTAAACGATGATTTCCAATGACTTGAACTGCATTCAAATTCTGAGTGAACAGGGAAAAAAAATTGCATTAGTTGGTTGCATGAACTTTGAAGGGCAGATACTACTGCACAAATGCTGCCATCTTGCTTAATTTTTAACTATGCATTGCAGTGCAGACTAATTTTTTTTTTTTTATTCTTCAATACGCTAAACTGGAAGCTTAACAGATGTGGGCCAAACCTTTCCAGATCAGGAAAAGTAATACTGTTACTTAAAAAAGTCTGCTACCCATTCCCCCTCCCCCATATGTACAGACAATAATATGGTGTGGATGGAATGTTGACTAGTGGCAAACATTTCACAGATTTTTTTTTTTTTTTTAATTTTGTTTCTGTCTTCAGCATTTTGACACTGTGCTAATATAGTTTATTCAGTACATGAAAAGATACTACTGTGTTGAAAGCTTTTCAGGAAATTTTGACAGTATTTTTGTACAAAACATTTTTTTGAGAAAATATTGTTAATTTATTCTATTTTAATTTGCCAATGTCAATAAAAAGTTAAGAAATGCTTTAGTTTTTCTAGAAGTCATTTACCAGTATTTTTCTTCAAAACTCTTCCCCACTGTCCCTGGTAAGTAGAACATCTATCTGTACAACCGTGTTGGTGTGCAAAAAGACATTCCAAAATAGAAGGTACACTACACCCATATATATGTCATGGTGAACTCGGTAGGTGAGTGGGATTTGAACATACTTACAGCATAAAGCCTCATACGTAACATTGTAATATGCCTGTCAGTGTGGTTTTATGAAAAATGAAGTTGCCGAGGAGCAACTTTCTTGTGACTTGCCAACATACTTGCTTTAAATGTAGTTGTCCAGAGTTATGATGCATAAAGTATTTATTATATTTATCTATTAAACTTGTAATTTTATAAATCTGCTTTCATTTATATAGTAGACTTTGTTCTCTTGTATATTTATTATCTCACCTGGAAGAGCTGTGTAAAAAAACCAAGTGTTTAACGTGCAAGTATTGGTAACTTGGGAAGGGGGGGGGTGGGGTGTCGTCCTGACCCTCTCACCTACCAGGGTTAACACAGGAGACAGTTGCTGCATCAACCCAGATCTGCATCACATCAGAAACGATTGTGTTTCATTTCCAGTGACTTAGGACAGGGGGCATATATCCTTAAAATACTCCACCTTGGGACGTCTCTGACCCCTCTCTCCCTGACGATACCAGCTAAAGCCACAGACAAATCCGTACTGGTTTACTTTAAATATCTGGGAGAAAATTGCCCATTATAAGAAGGCTACTGACATCTTGCTCCTTCAGTGCCAACTATTGCAGCCTTTTGCCCCTACTCAGCCTTTGGCAAAGCTCCCGCACTAGTTATGAGAGTAGTGTGGGATCAGGACGCTAATAACACATGTAATCCCGTTTTGCCACACTGCCCAAGTTCAATACAGGAGCCATACCACCGTGCTTTCTTTCTGCTTACTTCTTCAGCCACGTCTTCTGAATTTATTAGGAAGAAAAACAGCATGGTAGATGTAGTTAAATTTTGAACCTGGGCACGTAAACAGGGGAGGATATCACCACACAATGGGAGTGTAAGTAGCAGTGTTTTGAATCAAGCTGGGAAATTAAACTGATTACTATTGCTAAAATTGTCCCAGCTGGTGAGAAAAGTGATACTTGGCCTTCTTTGCCTTACAGACATCAAGCAGCTACTATGTCTTATGAATGTAAAAAAAAAAAAAAAAAACACCAAAAAAAAAGCTTGTATTAAAGTATTAGCAAAAGTAGAAAAGAGGGAAGTGTACACTTCTGGGAAAACCTGGCAACAAAATGCTCTCTGCAGGCAGTTAACAGCCCATTCTTAGACAACTCTCAGTACCCAAGAATTAAAAAAACCCAACCTTCTGCTGTCAGCCAGTGATCTCTAATGTTTTGTGACAGTAAATTTAACATCAAATGGCAGTGAATCATAGCTTATCAGCTCACCAGTAACGTGAAAGAGTGCTTAGAAGAATACAGCTGTAGTTTTAAGAGCCACTGCCCAACTTGCCACTATATAAATCCTTTTTCCATTTTAAGGTTGTTTGATCTGCACAAGTTGCATTGCCCTCTTCTGCTGGAGTTTGGGGTGATTTTTCTGATTCTAATCAACTTCTTATCAAACAGAATATAAAATTATTGTGCATACCAAATTGCATAGATATATAAAGCCTCCACAATCTTCTAGACCAAAAGGGAATACTCTATTGATAAGCACTTTTCCTTCATGAAGCTGGTTAAACAACAGATCCTCCATGGTTGAGACATCACTACTTACGTCTGTCAACACTAAATCTTTCCATATAAGTTTTTCCAAGAATAGGCAGTTTCACGGGCACGCTGGTAAAGTCTATTTGTATACGACTCCTTGTAAAACTTCTGAGAGCTGTTGCCTCTCAACAACAGCAGCTACTGAAAGCAGTGGCTTTGGGCAAGGAGTTTTATGATCTCTTAAAATCAGACCTCGGGGAAATCTACAAAATCATGTTGCCTACCTTGTCCCTTAATTTCTAATGAAGAGTCAGATCCCAGTGGATAGCACGACCACGTATTTTCTTTTATCCTAATATCATCCACTGAGCATTATTTGGGGCCTGACACTCATCTTCCTGATGTGAACCCCTTGGCAACACTCCCATGGGCTGAAACTGTAACAGGCCTTCAAGTAGGTACTCTCTAGCCTCCACAGTGTTTAGAAATATGCTGAAGTAATTTATTATTTGAACCCAGCGATTAGTGAAAAATGCAGTGACCCAGTTTTCCAGCTACTGCCAGATCCTCATGAAGGACGTTGCCGTCTTGCGTCCCATTAAGTTGCTTTTGTTACGTTTTGGCTTACGCTTTCAGTGCAGGAACCTTGACCTCTGTACTTTGGCTGTTTTTCAAGAGCTTCCAACACGGTACATGAGATCTGCTCCTCTCTAAGCCACGGCCATAAATAGTCGCGCTGTTTTGTTCGGATGGGAGATCAGCCCTAAGGCACCCCGCCACGCAAGGCACGCTCGGTGGAAAATCAGGTGCTGATTAACGCGGTCCTCTGCCTTTTTTCCCCAGCAATAAAGAATTCACAGGTGGGCGCTGGGGGTCAGCTGCCACCCCCTCCCCCCACACACC